ATAAAAATTAAATAAAATACAAAAAAACTAAGAAAATGAAATGAAAGGCAGCAGAAAGAAGAAAAAATCGTATATTATCTGTGCCTTTCCTCCATCAAATAAATTTATCAATAATAATCTTTATGCAACAAAACAAAATAAAAAAAGTGAGATTAAAAGAAACCATCAATTTTTTTCTTGAATTAATAATCCATTCTAGGCAGGTCCTTTTAATATTTTTTGTTCCAAAAGGAGCAGGTAAAAGATACAAGATCTTTTGATTTCCTGCCCTTTCCCACACTCATAACATTTAAATGTTCTCACATGAGATAAACACAAATTATTCCCACATTGAATGAGCATTAAATCTTACATTCTCCTCCTTGCATGTACAATTATTTATACATTTTTTATATAAATAATATTGAGACACCCATCCTACATAACATAGTTCCCAGTAAGCTCTTTTTAAAACATTTTTTTAAGCTGGTTTAAGTTTGTAATTTTTTTGAGCTCATCATTTAATCCATTCCATAATTTTTTTTGTATTATGTACAACGGCTGTAAATTAGTTTTGTATGTATTACCCCAAACCTCCACACAATATGTCAAATATGGTACAATGAGTGTTTATACAAAATAAACAATGATTTGTAATCCAAAACTGATCTGATTCCCCTAAAGACAGCAACACTTTTGGCTAGTTTTGATTTTACTTGGCAAATCTGTGGTTTCCAGCTAAATTTATCATCCAATGTAAACACCCAAAAACTTGATCTCATGTACTCGTTCTAAATCAACACTATCAATAGTTATTTTAATTGTATTAGTGTCTTGTTTACTGCAGTTTCCAAAAACCATAAATTTGGTTTTATCTAAATTTAATGATAATTTATTGCTTTTAAACCAAAGTGTTTCATTTCTGTAGTGACCACCTCTGAGAGTTGTTGGATGTTTTCACCAGTACAGAAGATACTGGTATCATCTGCAAAATTAATGTATTTTAGTATTTCTGATACTTTAAATATGTCATTTTTATACAAATTAAATAACTTCGGGCCCAACACTGACCCCTGCGGGACTCCACAAGTTATGTTTAATTAATTCAGTTCAATTCAGTTCAATTCAAGACTTCATTGATCCCAGAGGGAAATTAGATCATCATAGAGCTTTCTTCACGCTTAACTGTATTTTCTAATGTTGAAATTCTGCACAGTTACAATAACACAAACCTTTTACAGGAAAACAATTTTAACTGCATTAATCACCGTTTTTAAACATTCTATCGCATTTTACAATTAGATTAAGTAAGTTGTGTTCAGGTGCATCTGTTTACATTACTTTTCTGTATTTGTTACCTTTGTAGAGTGGAGTCTCTTTTTCATAATTTGGGATGTCAGGATCAGCTCCCATTTCCAGGAGCAGTTGAACACATCCCAGGTGGACTCTACTGACTGCAGTAAGCAGTGGCGTCCCCCCACCACTTGCCCTCTTGTTGATCATTCCTGGTTGGACTGAAATAAAACAAAGCGAGTTCGTCTTGACAAAATCAGGACAACTGTGGGTGTGTCTGTGTGAGCATGTCTACCTGTCAGCAGCATACGCAAACACGCTTCCTGTCCAAACCATGCAGCCTGGTGAACTGCGAGCCAGCCAGGTTTACTCGGCAGCATCAGGTTGGTTCCTGGACACATTGCCAGAGCTTTCACCCTGCTTGAGTCACCTTCACGGATTGCCCTAAACAGAGGCTCCTCTTCTCTGTAGAAACCATAATAAAAAAGAAACCTTAGGAAAACTGAAGCTGCTGTACACTGCAAAAAATGTCCAACTAACCAAGTTTTAAAACCTTACATCCAGCCAAAAAGTCTTTTTGATCTTGTTTTAAGACTGATTTTCTAAACAGGAACTGATTGTTGAAGAATAATCATCTTGTTTTCAGAATGTGTAAGATTATTTGTCTTGTTAGCCTGAAAATTTGACTCAAATTAAGTCAAAAATTTCGAGTAAGGGGTCTCTGCAGTATATGTTTTGTCCTGTGGGCGGAGACGGCCCAAAAGATGTGACTGGTCAGATTGACGTGGGGTTTGAGGAGGCTGGAGGCAGCGGGGAGTAGCTTGATAGAGTCAGGAAGGAAGCAACATGTTTTTTAAGATTAATTTTAGTCATAACTTGAGAAAGGAAAGTGCTAGCTGCACAAAATTTGAACATCATACATGTGAAAGGATGTGTAACAATATGGCTTGGTCAAAACATCCCTAACCAGCCTGTAAAAAGATAGCTAAAAATCAATATTTTTTTACAGGCTGGTTAGGGATGTTTTGACTGAGCCATATTGTTACACATACTTTCACAAGTACGATGTTCAAATTTCGTGCAGCTAGCACTTTCCTTTCTCAAGTTATGACTAAAATTAATCTAAAAAACCCCAAAACATGTTACTTTCTGCCCGACTCGACCAAGCTACTCCCCGCTACCTCCAGCCTCAAACCCCACCGTCAATTTGACCAGTCATGTCTCGGACCATGTCTCCGCCCACATTAAGACCTCGGCCAATGATGATTTGGGCCGTCTCCGCCCACAGGACAACACTTCTGTAGAGACCCCTACTTGAAAATTTCTGCCAATGGAGTAAGAAGATTTTACTGGGTAAGAATCTTGAAATACTGATTTGACTCAGTTTTTTCTAATTTCAAGAATCTTACCAAGTAAAATTTTCTTACTCCATTGGCAGAAATTTTTGACTTAATTTGAGTCAAATTTTTAGGCCAACAAGACAAATAATCTTACACATTCTGAAAACAAGATGATTATTCTTACACAATCAGTTCTTGTTTAGTGAATCAGTCTCAAAATAAGATCAAAAAGACTTTTTGGCTGGATATAAGATTTTAAAACTGCGTAAGATGGACAGTTTTTGCAGTGTGTTTCACCTGTGTCACATTTATTTGTACGCAGGAACAAGCGAGGTGAGTCAGATGCCTCATAGGTGTACTCACTCTTCAGGTTCTGGAGCGATGTGGACCAAACTTCCATCAGTTTTATAATACGCCACCATCCTCTTTCCAGAACCAGTCATGAATCGACTCACTGTACCAACAAAAGTCTTTCTGCCAACACACACACACACACACACACACACACACACACACACACAAAGGTCAGAGGACAGACAGTACACAGTAGCGGATCTAGGATTTTTCCGAGTAAGGGGCAATCAAGGGGCCACAATATACATAAAGGGTCCAAGTATATGTTCAACATCCTTGCATATAAATCCTCAGTTTTGGTAAGGTGTATAAATTGAACCGGTCACATATGTTCCAACAATTGTAACAAAATGTAATGTTATTAAAAAAGCTTAAATTCTCCTTATCAGTTTTTCATGCATTTTTTACTGTACATGGATAAAATATTCTCAAACCATGTGACAACATGAAGCCATTGTTTGCCAGTTGAAAAATATTTTTTTTGCAAAATTGTTCAAGTCTTTTAAAGAAGAGAAGAAGACTTCTGTATAAGATTGATTTATGCTGGACATTACTGTTTGACTCATTAGTGCCTCTAGTGTTTGGGCATGGAACTGCACCCACCATCATTGCTATCAAGCAAAGGACAGATGAGTGACAGGACAGGGCCACTTCAGGGGGCCGATCAGATTTCAGCCGGGGCCAATGCCCCAGTGGCCCCGCCCCTAGAACCTCCCCTGCTTAAGGGCTCGACACACGGGCAGCGACAAACTACAGCAATTAATGGCTGTCATCGCAGCCAGGGTGAAACCCGACACACGGGACGCGATAGCGATTGCAGCGTTGCGAATCATGCTCTCAGGTTGTTTGTCTTCACAAAATTTGATTGGTTCTTGACTCTGAAGGGGGGTGTGCATTACGGACGTGTAAACTAAACAAATCTTGCGATGCTAATGATATTGAAAAATAAACACACATCAAGATACAGTTTTATGAGGAAAAACCTAGCATAAACTTCACCCTGGTGCAAATAATTTCCCACAAAGCTTTTTAGTAATCACTTGGTGAAAGTGTTAGCTAACAGCAGCGTGTAACATACTCTCCTCTCATTGGCCAGCCAATGAAATACTCGCTGACTGGTTGTACGCTGAGCGACAGCGACAAAAGTTGAACATTTTTCAACTTCCATATGTCGCGTCGCAAGCTCGCGTGTGCACGTCTACGTGTACGAGCGTGAAATTTCACATGCACTATTTTCGCCGGTCGCTTAGCTGGAGGAGGGCAAGCGATTGTCGCCTCACCGCACAGGCTCCATAGGAAATGAATGGAGAGAGAGCGACGTCGCCTCCCGTGTGTCGAGCCCTTTATACAGCAGCACACAAACCCACTGAGACAGCAGCTAATTATTGTTTTGCTTTGTTCTTCGAAATTTCTGCAGCCAGTGCCGTTTGTTCACATCACATAAACGTGTTCCTCTGAACGACAATCTAACTGCCCAGGTGGGGTTAATGAAGTTACCTGAATCATGTGTACAAGAACATTTATAATTTGACTGAAAACGTCTGGATGTTATGGTCAGTGCTGACTGAACTCAGTAACCTGTACTCTGTTTCTGTGCACAGAAGATGAGAAACTACATACGGATCAGGAGGTTTTACAGTTGGAGGGTTTGGAGAACTGTAGTGAGCCCCCAACTGGGCAGCAGCTGGATTCTGGGTACTGGCTGCTGGTGGTTGGTTGCTGGTTGCAGCTGAAGGGGTCGGCTTGTTGTCATGGCGGTGTGGACGTTGTGTGGTGGTGCTGTTGGTGCTGATGGCGGTGGTGGCGGCAGCGCTGCCATGCGTGTCAATCAGACTGCGTTCAATGGCGAGCTGAAGGAGCTCACTGTCGCTCAGATGACTGTAGAGAGAATAATCCTCAAAGGTTGAGCTGGAATCTGCTGAACCTGAGTGGGAGATGCTAGGTGCTGCCATGATGGAGCAGAAATGCTCAAGTCTGAAAGAAACAGGACGTTTAATCAGCAACAACATTCGATAGACAAACATCATGAAATTATTCTGCATCAACTGTTTTAAAAATCCACCCAAACAACAGGTAAGACCTGAATAAGATTAGAAACTGGATTAACTGTTGACTGGAAGAAACAATAACCTTCCATCCTTCATGTGAATCAGTTAGAAAAGACTAGTAGCTCATCCCTTCATTTATCAGGTAGAGAGGTGTTTTCGACCCAAATGTAGGCTAGAACAAGGAGCTCAGAAACAAAAACTGAGTGCGTGTGTTACCGCGGGCAGCCAGTTTGTTTGAAACCTCTCAGGATATCTGCTCAGCTTCATCTCCTTCGCCTCTCTCCAGGAAGTGTTTGCAAGTTCTGCAATTTCCAAAATTGCCAAAAAGGTTAGACCATGGTTATCATTGCTTTTGCCATGTCATTGTGTCGCGCACTTGTATTCTAAAACAAGTGTCTCTCTCCAGGAGGACGTGTAAAGAGTAAGTTTGCACAAGTGACACCTTTCCTACGTTTGTCAACCCAAGAGCTAATCCACGAGCAGCATTCTGCTGACGCCAAAATCGTAAGCGTGTTGTTCTCGGTTCGAACCACTTGGAGAGGAGGTTTGAGAGAAGGAGGTCCATTGGAGAGGAGGTCCTAAAGTGTGTGGTTGTGTGCAGTTGGAACCTAAATAGAGACACATTTGGCTGATTGCGAACCAAGCAGAACCACATGCAGGTGTGCCGATGGAGCCAATGGAAAAGGGGCTAAACAAGAAGGTATGATTTAGAGCAGAGATTCTTAACCTGGGCCGCGAGCGCCACCTTGAGGGCCTCAAAAGAACAACAGATTTTAACTTTGGGCCGTGGGACAGCATTGATTTTGAATAAGGTGCAATACACTTTATCACCACTAGTAGCAGTAGTGCGCCACTCAGTTGTTTAACAACTTTAATATGTTGAAGAACCTTAGAAACCTGCCAAGAATGGAAACCAATTTTAAATTAAAAGCAGAAGCAAAAATGAAGGTAAATCATCAAAAAACACCAAAGTTTGTCACTAATATGAAGTACAGCTTCTGTTTTTACCAGGCAATATTTTAAAAGTTCAAAACATTTTCAAATACAGTTGCAGATACAGCTATATTTCAAATTGCACTATAAATTAATTTCTGTAGTTTATTTTTGAACATTTTCAATGTATTTTAAAGAAATTTTAAACTTGTCAAAAAGCTGTTGTTACTGTTATTGTCTGTCACTAATATGAAGAGCAGCTTCTGGTTGCAAAAGTTTAAAAAGGCTATATTTTCATTTGTACTTTAAAAAGATGTAAAAATAATAAAATTGCTAATTTGAAACATTTGCATTAAACATTTTTAATTTGTTTATTTTATGCCCACAATTTTATTTTTTGAATTGTCTATTTTTGTTATTGTTTATGTTAAAATTACAATTTTTTGTGTTGATAAGCCTGAGTGGTCTGTTGACTGACCTTTGTAWTTGTTCAAATWATTMTTATGGGCAGGTTACAATATAAAAATGTTTGTCATAATCATGTCTTGTGATTATTTGACAGGAGTTTTACTTTTAAAATGTAAGTGTATTTAATTTAGTTATGTTAGTTATAATAGTTTAGTTATGATGTAAATACAATAAAAACTAGACATGGGTTTTTACGATGTAAAAACAAGTGTGCATTGCCTTGTAGCATGCCTTTGCCTGCAGCAGTGGACTTGCAGAATGAAATGTGACCAAGCTCAAATGTGTTTTCTATACCAGCTTGTGCTTGTCAAGTCAGCAGGTGTTTGTAATAAGGGTAATTGTGTGACAATGTGAAGTTTGTAGAGATTTTCTGTCAAAGTTGCTTTAACTGGGTTTTGAACCCTGATCTCCTATATGAAAGTCCAATGCATGGAACATTAGACCATTGGAGCTGTGGCAGAGCGTGGTGCCAGGGTTTGGTTTGTATGTGTGCAGAAAGTGGCCACATTGCCAATTTAATTATTGACACTAAACTGCAGAATATTACAACAACAGAGCAGTATTAAGACAACATTATAGTAAAACATCAAAATGTAATCATATTAGTATAGTAAACACTGAAAAATTTAGATCAAATATTATTAAACTATGGTTCAGTACTGAGTAGATAGAGCAGGAGGCAGTATTGGACCAATACAAGGCTCTATTGACCCCCATTATAAATTGTTAAACATTAGTATTTCAAAAACTATAAGTTGTACAGGCACCAAAGGTCATAGCCATCATTTGGCTTAAGAGCTTTACAGATAGAAATTACAAAGGCTACGAAAAAGTGTGCAGGAGGAGAAGCGCGCCAAAGTGGAGATGACTTGGATGGGAAACAAATCACAATAGTGTGCATTGCATTGGCAATGCACACTGATTGAACCAAGATTTAGAATAATTATCATTTTGATCCATACATTGGTAATGTGTGACTGGGCCTCGTGTCACTTTATGTTCAACAAATTGGGCCCCGAGGTCAAAAAGGTTAAGAAGACTTGATTTAGCGTGACCCTCATTGGATATCAGGATTAATGCTACACTGTAGGTTTTAAAAAACTGAAATTAGATTAATCCAAAACACATAAAAGATTTAAAATAAATACTCAGATACACATCCTCTGTTTAAAGTTGGGTTTTCTTGTTTGACATAAATATAATAATTCACTCCCTTTCAAACCATCTGTTTTCTCTGTCCAAAATATGACAGTTTTGGTTTTATTTTGAATAAATGACACATTTTTGAAAACCAAAATGTTCATATTTTTAACAGACAGCTAATTTGAAAGCAGAGTGCATTAAATGAGATTTAAAACGAACTTTAATCAGAGGAATAAAACTCAGATTTCAGCTTTCTAAAACTTACACTGCAGTGGAGCCTTAGTGGGCCTTGGGTTCAAATAAGAACCCCCTGAAATAAAGTCAGAATAACAGACCACATTAAAACAAACCAGCCACATGTTTCCCCCTTCAGTTAAAGAAAGCAAATATCAGAATTTGGAGAAGCAACAACAGCTGCTCACCTCAGATCAAATCCAAATGTTGTTTCCTTGTGCCCAGTTTGTCTTGCTGTCTGTCTATGACCCAGGGAGGGCTGGGGGCGGGGCTTATTCTGTTTATTTTAGGGATCTGCAGTTGGAGAGTTCAGATCAGCTGACTCTTAAGATAGAATGGTGTCAAATGTTGCTGCATTCAAAAACAAGTGAATCCCAGGGATTCAGACTGAAGTAAATAAACTAATCTTTGACTTTTCTGCAAACTGAAACCATCATTTTAAGATTTCTCTCTGCAGAAAGTTTAACAACCATTGTTCCTTCGAACCAGGCTAGTTTTCAATACCAATGCAAAATGCAAAAACATTTCTCAATTTCAACCAAAGATTAATGTTCAATATCAAACAGATAGTGATGAACCGTTGGGACAGTCTTCAACATTTTCACATTACTGAGGAGGGTAAAATGTTGCATAAATATTTTTTCGAACTGAACAGAGATCAGTGACGAACCTCAATGAACCGAGGCAAAACTTGGGAAGAAGAGTGGACAAAAAAAATCCTCCACAACAATCTGAACGACTTATCAAGTTTTACAGTAAAACACAATTCAATTTATGTCAGTTTATTTGTATCGGGCCAAGTGTTTTTCACTTTGGGAAAATTTAAATATGGGAAATAGTGAAATGAAATAAAAAAACAAATTTTAAACTCACAAACATTTTACAGAATATTTTTAGATGCCATTACGAAACTTTGGTCAACTCATTTGTTTCTAAGACAGTGTCTTCTGTTCTATGCTGCCAAAGTAGCACCTACAAGTGACAAAAAGTAACAACGGAACAGAACGAAAATTCATCTACTGTGTCAACCTAAGAACACAACTTGTGTCTGTCAGCAAAATATCACAAGATACTACCATAGGACAGATATATTAATGTTAAAGGGCCAATTTTAAGCGTTTCTCAGGCATATATTTAAATTTTATACCATAATAAAGTAACAATGTCACCTTCAGTTGTTATTAAAAAGTTGTTTTTATGTTTAAATAGAAAATAAACTTGACTTCTCATCATATCTGTTTCTAAACACCTTGAAATTGGCCTCTGTTTCTTTAAGAACCTCCATCATGCCCATTTCTGCACATCACAACCACTTCTCTCTGCTGTTTGCAACCTGGACTGTTGTAGCATGCTTTGTTGTAAAGAAGCAACATCATACAATATTGATTTTTAAAAATTGCATCTCAGGATAAAACGGAACTTTACCTTAGGACCGGAAAGTAGGTTTTCTGAAGAACCAGAGCGAGTAGAGAGGTAAGATATCTGCAGTCTTCCTCACACACACATGTACAGTGGGGAAAATAAGTATTTAGTCAGTCACCAATTGTGCAAGTTCTCCCACTTAAAAAGATGAGAGAGGCCTGTAATTGACATCATAGGTAGACCTCAACTATGAGAGACAAAATGTGAAAAATTTTTTGAGAAAATCATTTTGTCTGACTTTTAAATAATTTTTTTGCAAATAATGGTGGAAAATAAGTATTTGGTCACCTACAAAC